GAAGAAGGGATAGATCCTGAAGAGCTTTTGTATGAAAGGAGCATCAACAGTAGCATCATCACAGGCAGAATATGTAGACCATGCGCAGCATCTATAGACAAAGTTAGAAAATTGGAAGAAGTAAAGTCTACTTTAAAGGCTGATATGATGGATGCTATTGGCAAAATTAACCGCTTCCCTATAGCAATGGAAGACATGCACTGATAGCAGAGAGACTTTCCAAAGCCTGTAGGAAGAATCACAAATGTATCCTTCCCACTAAGAAAATATTTAATAGCCTGCCGTTGCTCTTCCTTGAAAGTTATTCCAAAATATGTAGCAGCATCATCTATCTTAGTATCTAGATCCATCTTCAAGACTTGAAGTCTTGAACTGTTTAATTAATGGTTTGCTATAATTATTATTGAAGTTAATTAAAAGGAAATGACGTAATACTCTGTCACTGCAGAAATCTTGCAGCAGAGAACAAGATTGATATACACGGTGTTCCTGACCCTCCTCTCCGTGCAAGGGTCAGGCCACGCCTGACTATCTTGGTATTAGGAAATGTAATAAAAATTGAGAATTCTCTACTTTTTATTTTTGTCAAAATTTAGCCAAAATCCCTGTACTATAGTACAGGGACTTTGACCCAATTTTTGAGAAAACTTCAAAGTTCTAAAGAAACTAATTTTGATTGGAATCAGCTCAAACTTTCTATGCTACATAAGAACATGTATATGTATTGTTATTGTGGCTATTTTGTATGTCCACTTTTCATTTATTGATTATCATTTAATTCTGTAGGTTTGTAATGACACTGTATTACAGCAACAGGATGATTCATTATCATTAAAGGTCTGTCATTAACTTCACTATTATTTATTTTATTATTATTATTATTATTATTTTTATTATTATTATTAATAGATGTTTACTTGTTCCGATGCTTCCAGTGGTGTCTGGAGAGAACAGAAAGAATTGTAAGTAACTGAATACCATCAGCTCATTCTCTCCCTCTCTCTCACCAGGTCAGTGATCAATGGTGATCAGACCATACCAGCTGTTAAGAAACTGATATTCAACGGAGTCTATAAGAAACTGATTGACTTTGACAATCACCTGGAGAATGTTAATGATGACTGGACTAACACTGACATTAATAAAGCTATTGAAGGAATATAAAGTAACCAATTAATTAATAATAATAATTATTATTAATAATAATATTAATTGAATAATACAATTGTTTATTAATTAATTATTAATTATTTATTTCTTTGCTTGTGGCGGTTCATGTACTCCATACATGGCGTTATCAATTCCTCTAAAACAATTAAATATAAACTTTCCTTGTTATCTTATATATATACTGTACCTGTTGCTATTTTTAGCCATTGCCTTGTTACTATAAATAAACATTACATCATCACATCAATACATGTAGTTGTACTTACTGATACAGTGCATATACTGAGAGTGTGGCTAGTATTACTATTGATATTATGAACAATACTGCAGTTAATCCAATCATTGCTGTTGTTATTATTAATGATAGACCAACACTGACTGGAGATGAAGAGGGTTCACTTGTTGTTGATATTACTAGTAAATAAACAGATTAACAGACTAATATTAATACACATGTACATGCACATTACCTGTACTACTGATACTGGTCAATATTAATGAGCTGGTATATTCTTCATTATTAATATATGATGATGAATATACTTCAGTTGGTGTATTGGTATCACTAGTCATTGTACAATGGGTTGGAGTAACAGCTACACTGGAATTTACTAAAATAAGTTATTAATAAATATTAATACATGTAGATGTACCTTCAATTGTACCATTATCATTAACAGTGATTAGTAATGAGGATGGAGACCCTAAATGAACTTCATCAGATTTTATTAGTTTAATAATAATATCTTTATCATGTAAGTTTGTGATATTAATTATGAATTTTTGACATGATTCATCAGTGGAAAATGAAACATTTTGAATGTTTTCATTATCACCTAAAATAAGAATAATCTTACATTCATCACAGATAATTATGATAACATTCCAAGTACATGTACATTTACTGCTACCATTAATCATAACTCCAATATGACTGGTCTGTGAGAGGTCACCAGATCTATACACTGTGATATCAACCAGTAGCTCTTCACATGAGGGAACAGCAGAAATCGAATAAAATGTTTCTAAAAATAACAATTAAAGTTACTATTAGTATACTATCACAGTCTCACCAGCAATAGGTCTCATTCCAAAGCCAGCAGGATAGGCATATCCTTTTTCAATTCCCCAACCAAACAATACTGCACTGAATGAACAGGTAGTGTCAGTGTGTACTAGTAAATGAGGTCCTTGTACTATATCAATAGACACTCCATATCCACATACATCAGTGATATTGTCACAATAGAATGCACTCCATTTACTGTCATCAGCCTCCAATGGAGCACCATTGTCTAATATACCACTAGCATTGAAACACTGAGGTAACACTGTTACATATATACCATTATTAGTGAAATTGCCCATTTCTCTGATTAAATTTACTTCATTTGATATTAAATATCTGTTGAGATATTGAGCAACTGATGGTATCCATACCATTGCTGGATCACCAAGTCCTATATCTGTTTTTGTTGATGGAGAATTAGCATATGGATCATCAACTGCATGTCCTTTAGCATACTGCATTACAGCAATAGGCTTGTTTGACTGTATTGTGCAATAGCTTTGATTAGTTATGTCAAAAACACCTCTATTTGCTACCAGACGCTCCTCTAACACATAATTCTGAACTGATACATTAACTGTCATTTTATCTGTGCTATTCTCTACACAGAATACTTTAAAGTCAGTATTAAATGGACTGTATGGTAATATCTTTATTATGTACCCAAAGTCTCTTGAATGAAATGGAGCAATTAAGAAATTATATCCCCAAGTGTAGGATGGAGGGATTTGCTCTATGAGATGATCACAGTTCATTATACCAACAGGAACTCGACTGCACTCGTGTCCAGTCATGAATCCGATTGGTTGGTTAGAAGTTGCTGTTATACCTGCTATTGCTTCATCTGTGTTCTTAGCTATAACAGGAGTATAATATTGCTCAAAATCATTTATAGATGAAGTGGACTGAAGACCGGAAATAAATTGCATAGCATTAAAGTAGTTTTTAAGAGTGAAGATGTCTATATGAGTGAATAAAGTCACTCCTCCAGTTGGAATATGATTACAAGCAACAATTGCTGCTAGTGCATAATCATTAATGCCTGGAGTTGGCCCTCCAGTGAATACTGAGTAGCTGTAACTCTGGACAATCGAGGATACATTAAATATTGGAACAGCAGCAAAACCATCTGAAGATCTTATGGCATCACTGAAACCCATGACAGATATCTTTTGTGAACTATTAACTGTTTCAACAATAATACCAGTATGATCATTAGTTAAATTGGCTGTTATGCCTTCACTGACAATTGGGATCATATTTGCTACATGTGGTGGATTAGCATTCTGATCATCATCAGTACTAGTGGTTTGATACAGTTCTCTATTGATGCCTCCTGGTTGAACAGTGCCATTTCTATTGACACCACTGACACCTGACCTGATAATATACTGAACTGGTTCACATTCTTGAGTAGCAATGTATATTCCAAGAATTTTGGTAATGGCAGTTCCTTTATTCTCAAGGAAAGAGAAACAGAACTTGTTCCCTTCACTAGTATCAGTCATTGGTACTCCTAATGTATTCAATTAATAATAGTAATTATTATATTTATATTACCTCTCAATCTTTTATTAATATCAATAGATCCTTCACTACCTATAGCATTAGGATAATCATATCAATCCATTACTGGTAGATACACTTACCATCAATACAACAGATACTCAGTAATATTATAATCATTATATGATACAACATCTTCTCCACTTTATCTTGTTATTCTCCTTCTTTCAGTGTTGCTGTTATTGATATTTCTTTCTCTCTTGACTAGTTATAGTATAAACACTTTATTTAAATACACTAACAGTGTATTCATTAGTTGCCTATATTGACTATAAAAGGAAGTAACATTAACGAATAATAACCATAAACATAATAATAATAAAGTATGAGGTTAAAGTTTATCATGTATACATTGTTACAGTTGCAATGGATCTATAATGAATAATACATGGATAATAGTAATGAAACTCATTCCTCTATCTTAATAATTTTATACTGCTCGTGCTTCAAACCAGGCATGGGGTCAAGCACTTAGTGCTTGTACTTAAGCACAAATAAGCACAGCTTTCAAAGCACTTAGTGCTGCTTGCAAGTACCTTTTCAATATAATCTATGTGCTTTGTACTTGTACTTAATTACTTTTATAAATTTACAAAAGTGCTTTTAAGCACAGCAAAAATTACACACTAATAGTCAATAGTGTACATCTACATCTACATCTACATGGTACATCTACATGTCGATGTCATGTACATGTACCACTGCATGTACATATACATGTA